ACAGTAGAGCGAATAAGTCCATGGAATAGCGGTGTGTAGCATAAGAGTCGAAGCTATAACCTCCACACCTAAGCAAACGTATCATAAACAACCGTCATATATGTCAAACTAACGTGCCGAAACCACAATAGCTGGCCAACCCGGAGCCGAGCAGAACACACCGGTGCACTGTAGAGCGGAGAAGGCCACCGAACAACAGTTTATACCACGACAGTCAAAGCTATCCAAACCAAACCCAAGCTAACGTAGCCTCACCAAACGTAAAATAAATAATTCTACCGTGCCGAGGCCACCATTGCTGGCCTCCCCGGAGCCAATCAGAACAGATTAGGGAAATGTAAAGCGCAGGAATCCACAGGATTGCAGCGTATATCACATAAGGCAATGCTGTCCTCTCCTAACATATCCAAACGTAACATAGCCAAACGTAACCTAACTCAATATATCACGCAACGACCACAGTTGTTGACCTCCCAATAGTCAAGCAGAATATACTAGGGCACAGTAGAGCGCATAAGTCCACGGAATGGCTGTGTGCAGCATAAGAGTCGAAACTATCCCATCCTAACCTAACCAAGCGAAACATAACCAACCGTCATATATCTCAAAGTAACGTGCCGTGACCACTATCGCAGGTCTCCCCAGATTCAAGCAGTACATACTGCAGCACAGTGGGGCGCAGAAATCCACCGATCGGCAGTTTAAACCACGAGAGGCAAAGCTATCCATACCTAACCCAAGCTACCATAACCAAACGAAATGTAGCACAATTTAAACTAACGTGCCGAAACCACTATTACTGGCTTTCCCAGAGTCGAAAGGAGTATAGGAGAGCAATGCAGAGCGTAGAACTCCACCGAGTAGCAGTGTGTAGCAAGAAAGTAAAGCTATCCTCTCCTAACCTAACCAATCTTAACATAACCGAACGTAACATAACAAGGCCTAACGTGCTGAGACCGCTCTTGCTGACGCCCATGGTGCCAACCAGAGTTTACTTGAACACACTAAAGCGCAGAAATCCACCGCAAGGCAGTGTAAATCACAATAGTCAAAGATAACCTATCTTGACCTGAGCTAATCTAACCTAACTAAACGTAGGCTAACTCAACGTAGCGTGCCGGTACCACCGTTGCTGGCTCTCCCATAGCCAGGCTGTACATATTACAGCTCAGAAGGGTGCATATATCGGCCGGAAAGCAGTGTACATCACATAACTCGACGCCACCGATATCCTAACCCGTCCACACGTAAAATAACCAAACGCAACTTGACCTAACCTAACGTGACGTGACGACTATTGCTGGGTTCCCACAGTCTAGCGGAACACACTAGAGAACAGTAGAGCGCAGGAAGCCTACAAAGAGCAGTGGATAGCGCAAACGTCGGGGATTTACTTATCCTACCTGTCATAGCCTAGCCTAACCAAACGTAGACTAACTGAACCTAATGAGACGAAACCACTATTGCTGGCCTTCCCAGAGACAAACAGAGCACATTAGAGCTCAGTAGAGCGCCGAAATCGACTGAGTAGCAGTGTGTAGCACAAAAGTCACTGGCGTCCTCCCCTAACCTATCCCACCCAAACCTGACCAAACGTAACGCGGCTCAACCTGTCGTGCCACGACAACTACTGCTGGTCTCCCCAACGCCGAGCAGAATATACTGCAGCACAGCAGAGCGCCGAAATCCACCGCATTGCAATGTACAGCATAAAAGGCGTATATATCCTAACCAAATTTGGCACAACCTAATCTAACCGAACGTATAATATCTAAACCTGACGAGATGGGACTAAAATCGCTGCCCTTCCCAGAGCCAAGCAGAACATATGAGAGCACCGCAGAGCGCAGGAATCAAACGAATAACTGTGTGAAGCACAAAAGTCAATCGTACCCTATCATAACGTGGCCAACCGTAACATAACCTAACGTAGTCTAGCTCAACGTAACGCGCTGCGACCACTATTGCTGGCATCCCGAGAGTCGAGCAGAGCATAGTAGATCATACCGGTTGGCGGAAATCCACCGAGGAGCAGTGTATATCATAAAGGTTTAAGCTAGCCTATCCTAACCCCACAAAGCGCAACATAGTCAAACGCAACATATCTCAGCCTAACGTGCCGAGAACACTACTGCTGGTCTCCCCAAAGCCTAGCGGAGTATACTAGAGCAGATTAGAGCACAGAGATCCACCGAATAGCATTTCACAGCACAAATGGCAAAGCCAACCTAACCAAATATAACTTACCCTATCGCAAACAAACGTGACCTAACACAAACAAGCGTGCGAATAACAGCTCATAACACAGAAGTTAAAGATATTCTGTCCTAACCAAGACAAGCGTAACATAACCAAACGTGGCTTAACTCAACATATCGTGCCGACACTACCATTGCTGGCACCTCGAGAGCCAAGCAGTGCATATTAGAGCAATGTACAGATCAGAAATCCACCGAATAGCAGCGTATAGCACAAAAGTCGAATCTATCCTATCCTAACCAAACCGAACGTAGCATAACAGAGTGTAATCTAAGTCAACCTAAATTGCGGAGACCACTATAGCTGCCCCCCCCCCCCCAGAGGCAAGCAGAATAAACCAGATCACACTAGAAGGCAGAATTCCAGCGAATAGCTGTGCATAGCGAAAAAGTAGACGCTATCACCTCCAAACCTAGCCAATTGTAACGTAGCGAAACGTAACATGACACAAGCCAACGTGCCGCGACCACGATTGCTGACATCCCAAGAGCCAAGCAGAACATGTTAGTGGATGGTAAAACGCAGAAATCCGTACAGTCGCAGTGTATATCATAAAAGTCTAAGCTACCCATACCTAGCACAAACCAGCAGAACCCAACCAAACGTTGCCCAGCTCGAAGAAACCTGCCGGTACCACTATTGCTGGGCTCCCCAGGGCAAAGCAGAATGTAGCAGAGCACAGTAGAGCGTAGAAGCCAACAGAACGTTAGCGTATACGGCGGAAGTCATATCTATCCGTGCCAAACCCCAACAAACGCAACGTAACCAAACGTAGCCTAACTAAAGCTTGCGGGCCGAGACCACTAATACTGGCCTCCCGAGAGTCGAACGGAGTATAGTAGAGTAACGAAGAGAGTAAAAATCCACCCAATAGCAGTGTATAGCACCGAAGTCAAATCTATGCTCTCATAACCTATCCAAACGTAATACAACCAATCGCAACCTTTTTTTCACGTGGGGGAAATCTTCCAAAAATGCCCGGCCTCCTTAGTGGAGGGGGCTGGGTTATGTGGAATTTTTACCCACTAAAACCCCCACGATGGCCAGCCCTTCGCAATTCGGTGCGCCATGGACATCGCGGCGACGCAATTGCCAGGAAGTCCTCGCGACGCAACCGCAGTTCCCTCCCGGCGCGACAGGAAATCGCACCCAAAACGATCATGTCCATGCGCGCGAGACGGGGCGATTACAGGCACACACACACACATACGCACAACACGCATATCACCGCACCGCAGCGCACGCATACCCTGCGGACGCCACGCGACGCCGCACGCCCGGATCACGGTCTCTTGATCTGACGGGCCCCCACACGCCAGCTCGTAGTCACCCTGACCTAGGTTACAACGGGAGAGAGATACGGTCTCCCCGGCCGTAGGTACACGGTCGCTCGCGAAGGCGGAGGTCTAACGCGTAAACAAATCCGGCAGTGCGCGCGACGCCCTCCGGCGCCTCGCTTGCAGCCTCCGCCGCCCTCGCGGGCTCTCTCCGCGCCCTCCTTCTGTAGCATAACCGCCTCGCCGAAGCAGGTCACCGCACGCCACGCACCTAAGCCCTCAGTCATCCGCGCCACGACGACGGAGAGTGAATGTTCCCGACCCACCACGCGACAAAGTGCCCGGCGCTCTCGAGTCCACGCCGGACATTCCACCAGCGTGTGCTGCGCCGGTACCCACCCCGCCCCGCAGTGATGACACTGCGTCTCACGTTCCCGCCCGATACGACACAGGTTCACCCCGAAGCACCCGTGCCCGGTTAGCACCTGTGGCAGGCGGAAAGTGTGCCGGCTGCCGCTGCGCCCCATGCACCCAGCACGGAGAGCACAGCTTCGATCACCCGGTGCCGCCGGCTGCTCGCCTTCCTCAGCCGAGATAGCCAGGCTGACATCAAGTACTGTCGAACCCTTCTCCTCGACGAAACGGCCTCCTCTTCAGGAGCACGGCCGCCGCCAGCGTGTAGGAGACCGTAGATACGGGCATCCCCCACCGCTTGCAGTTCGAACGGTGGGACACACGCCAGGACCATCGCCGCCTCGCGGGATATCGTAAGGTAACCGCGCACGCCCCTGATCGCCAGACTGCGCGGAATGGCGACCAGGCCGTTCGCCCAGATCGCAGCCCCGTAAAGTGCCACCGAGCGAACGACTCCCGTGTATAGGCGGCGCACCCTCCCGTCTGTCCCTCCCAGGTTGGGTAGCGGGCGACGCAGCGCCCCAGCCATACCTTCCAGACGTGGTTCCAGCGCTAGCATATGTTCGTAGAACTACCAGCGGCTATCGAGGACGAGACCGAGGTATTTCATCCGATCCCGTACCTCGACCACGACGTTCCCCACGCGCATCAGGGACCTGGGCGGCTTCCGGTTGTGCCGATGGCAAAACCACATTGCCTCGGTCTTCTCGGGGGAGATGCACAGCCCTAGCCGCTGGATGCTATTCGCGACGAGGGCCACGCCGATTTCCGCGCGCAGCGTGGCCTCCTCCCAACTCTACCCGGCGGCCATCACCAGCGTGTCGTCCGCGTAACACGTCAGCTCAGGACGCGGGTTTGGGGAGTGCGCAACACGGCGCCGCACGCGAGGTCCCAGAGGATCGGCCCGAGTACCCATCCCTGTGGAACCCGGCAGTTTGTAGCCCGCACGACGGTCGTGTATTGTCCGTGATACTCGATCGAGCGCTCCGCCAAGTAGTCGCCGATCACCGCCATCATGTATTGGGAACCCTGTGGTACAACAGGGCACACCGGATGGCGGCCCCGGGTAGGGTGTTGAAGGCGCTGGCGATATCAACACCGACCGGCAGCAAGACCCCGCCCCGGTCAACGGCAGCCTCCGACAGGCTACGAACGCGCTTGTTCGAGTCGATCGTCGACCGACCATGCCGGAATCCGTACTGGCTGACGCTGAGATAGGGACCCACGTCGGTTAAATGCTCTTGGAGGCGGGCAACTAGAACGCGCTCGAAGAGCTTGCCTACCTCGTCGAGCATGCACACCGGTCGGAATGCCTTCGGAGAGTTCGTCGCCTTCCCTAGTTTTGGGATCAGCACGACCCTCGCTCTCTTCCAACATGCCGGGAATCTACCGGTCCTGAGGCAGCTGTAGAACAGCCGTCGCACACGGTCACCCCACGCTTCCAGAGCCAGTGCAAAGGCTCGGCCTGGGATGCCGTCCGGTCCGGGAGCGGTTCTCCACGCCCCCATCCAAACGACCGCACGGCCCAACTCCTCGCGCGAGACCTCCAGCTCCTCGGACCACCCGACGAGTGCCGACCGCACTGCAGCGGGTTGCAACCCCTCCTCCGCCACCACAGGGAAGTCGGCGTCGATCACCCGCCGCAGGAGCTCGGGGTCCATACGCTCGGTCACGCGGGGTGCCCATGCCTATAACTTCCCCATTACTAATTTAAAGGGGCGTCCACACAGATCGCTTTCGAGCGTCGCGAGGAGTTCGTCCCATTGCCGATATTTGTATCTGCGAATCTCCCTCCGGAGATCGCCCACCGCGGACCGGTACGCGCGATAGGGGCGCGCGATTTCCTCGGCGGATACCGCGTGTCGTTGACGACGCGCCCGGGTGTACAGGCGCCGGACGAGCTCGCAGAGCTCCCTGAGCTGCACGATTTCGGCCGACCACCAGTGCTCTGCACCCCGCGAAAGCGGCTCCCTCACCCGCGGCATGGCGACGTCGCACGCGCGGGTCATTACCGCCCATAGCCACTAACCCCGCCTCGTCCTTTTCGCGCCCGACGGCCCCATCCGCACAGGCGACGATTTGGACGGCCGCGGCGAAGAGGTCGCGGTCGAGGCGCCCTAGCGCCAATCGAGACACGGTGGTGTGCTTCCCGCTGGGTGCTTCCAGACCGGTGCATGGAGTGACGACGTGCATCATGGTGACGTGGACGTGGTCGCTAAGCGTTTCCACTTCCACCGCCACTCTCCAGCTGGTGACTCGCCGCACAGCTGCCGGCCTAGCGAACAAGTCCACGATGGACATGCCGTTCCACCGGACGCACGTGCTTACGGAAACCCGGTTGAGAAACCGGAGATCCAACCCCGAGGCCCATTCTTGCAGGCGCTCACCCCGAGCGTCTGTTCCCGGGGAACCCCACGCCACGGAGTGGGCACTGATTTCCCTGAGGACCGGAAGTGGACGAGCCATGTGTACACTAAGGAAACCTCCGAGCTCCTCCAGGTTCAACTCGCACGACGAGAGGCCGCGGTAGGGGGAGACATAGCACCCCACCACGGCTACGTCGTTCCTGGAGACCGCCACGTAACCCTCACCGCTGTGAAGCAGCGTTGGTGCGGGTGTCCACAGTGGTCCCATGGCAATGATCACAATGGAGCCGTCCCGAACCCCGAACCACCCGTCTTGATCGAGGATACGGTACGGGTCTGCGGTGACAGCCAGCCCGACACCCAGCTCAACGAGCGTCTGCAGGAGCATGTCCTGCGACGCCCGAGAGTGGTGTAGGTTGGCTTGGAGCACCGTGGACGGCGTGACAGTTAGGACGTGTCCACGGCCTCCTCCTAGCAACCCTTCTTTTGGGCCAGCCGCGGGCCCGGTACTCCGCCGGTCGGCGGGCCCTTCGCGGTAGAGTTCGCGGAGCCGGAATTCACGGACGCGGCTTTCCAATAGGCGCTCGCGGGCGCCGAGGCGGCGCGGCGTCTGCAGCAGTCTGGTGAACCGCGCATTTTGCCTTTGGCGTGCAGCACGCCTTGCTGCCCAGCCGTTGGTTGGAGGGGCGACCGAGCCAGGCGCAAACCGGGCACTATGGTTCAGGCGCACTGCACCCATGGTCACGGTAGCCAGCAGCGCCACACCTGAAACAGTTGTCGTTGTGGTCCACCGCACTGGAGCATCCGTTCCTTGCGTGACCGAACGGAAGGCAACGGAAGCGCTGGAGGTGCCGTGCCTCCGCCGGACTTGGCTGGACTTCGACACGTGCCGAAGTCCAGCCGACGCGGAACCGCCCGCAATCAGCGGACTTTCTCGCTTCCGCGAGGGGACGCTGGGCCCATACAGAGGCCAGCCCCGAAGCGGAAGTCCGGATCACACCGGTTCTTGCTTCCGCCTCGGTGCAATCACCGACCCTGGACAGGGCGGTGGCCACCTCGCGGGGAGTGACAGAGTCGTCAATCCCGGTCACTTTCAGCTCCGCTTTTTTGTTCGAAACCGTAACACGCACGCCGGATCCCACCAACACTTCGCTCATTCGCCCGGCGAGAGCGGCGGCTCGCTGTGCGCCCTCGGGTTCGCCGATCTCCAGCAGGAGACCGCCGGAAGCTGCCCGACGGGGGCGCAAGTTCTCGATCCCGAGGTCGGCGAGATTTATAATTCCTCCTGCAGCGGAGATGGCCTCCGCGCAAAAGAGGATCGACGCCTCGGGTACCCAAACCGCGAAGGCTGCCCGCGACGGCGGCCGCTTTAGGATCGGGCCCTGCTCATCGCCGCTCTTCTTCTTGTCGTCACCGTGCGTCGCTCCGGCCTTCGCGGCGGTCACGGGTATGCGCGCGGGCGGAGCTCTTCCCCGAGGAGCGGCACCCCGTCTCCCGACGTCTCCCTTCGGCGCACTCAATGGCACCATCGCGGGCTGTTGCGCGCAGCGGCCGCCGGCAGCTGCGCTCGCTTCTCGCGCTTACCGATGACGAGAGACCAGCTGGCCTCTGCGTCTTTCCCGGCTGCGACTGGAGCCGCGACCGGCGCCTTCGCCGGGGCGTCCACGGGCCCGTCACGGGAAGCGCCCGCGACAGGTTCCGCCGATGTCACCAGTACAGGCCGCGCGCGCAGGCCGGCGGTGGAGCTCACTTGCTCCGGCGCTCGGGCAGGCTCATACCGCCCGGCCGCCACGGGGAGCTTACGCTCGAGCTCCTCGAACTTTGAATCGATTCGGAGACCGAGTGCCGCGAGGGCAGCCGCCATACCGAACTCTGGCGCTGGTGCTGCTGCTCCAGCGCCCGCGGACGCACGCACGTTTCGAGCGTGCGCGGGGTAAACGATTACCCGCCTCCACTCCTGAGCCAGCTCCGCGCGCAATGAGGCGATCACCGCCTGCTGGGAGACATCCTTCGCCCGCAGACCGGCGATATCCGCCATCAGCACGCAGACCCACTGCGCCATCGTCTCCTGGGAACGACCGGCTGTTACTTTCAGACTCATCCCCCCTGCCGGCCGAATCCTCCACCCTGGCGCACATACGGAAGGCGCGAACGTATGGGCCGTGCAGGTTTTTACTCGTGTCTGCCATCGTTTCTATCCTCGCGCTATTCTCTGATATAACGGCAGACAGTTCCACAACAGACAGCGAACGCTGCACTCTGGCGAGCACCTCCAGTATGGGGAAGGTCGCCTTCGCCCGGCTTATGCTGGTGGGTTTCGGGGCGAGATTGATACCATCCAAACCTTCGAATGGGTCATATTCCTCCAACACCGCCCTCCGCGGGCGCTTCGACGTCTACGCGGGGGGCACACACGAAGACCACGTTTCGCCGTCGCCCGTAACCCTGACGGCACCTGCGAGGGATTAGTATTCCCCTCGAGGTCCGCTGGCAGCGCCTTACGAAATGCGGTGCTACGAGTCACGCCCCGCGGAGCACCTGCAGTAGTGCTAATTGCCCAGTCCTTTGAAGGGGGAATCTCCACTGGAGCCGCGTCGACACCACTAACTGTACCCGTACCTTCACTCTTCGGTAAATTGCCCGTCCTCCCCGGGATGATTACCACTGTACGGGCTGCGAGCCCCTGCTCCGCCGCTTGCACTGTAGCGTGACCCTCGGCCGAGGTATCCCTCACTGGGCAGGCGTGCGGCTCTGCGGCAGACAATGTGCAACGTCCCTCGACTGCCTGCGACGTAGCGGCGTCCACAACTTCGTTGATGCCACGAATAAAGGAAAACGAAAACTTCCAAACAAGTTCAATTTTTATCGTCACCACGGCACACTCCGCGACGCGAGTCCCGGCGACGAGCACCCGCGCACCACACGCACAGAATGGCACTAACGCATGCGCCAGAAGACGCACTTTTCCGCCGAAAATACCTCCCACTAGTAGGAGCATCGTGAACGCGCCCGCCTTGCTCGACATTCAGCGCGGCACTCCCAACCAAACGCAACCTATACTAACCCAGCGTGGCGAGACCGCAACTGCTGGCCTCCCCAGATCCATGCAGAATACGCTAGAGCGCAGTAGAGCGCAGAAAGCCACCAAATAGCAGCGCACAGCACAAAAGTCAAGGGTACCCTGCCCCAACCTTACCCAACGTAACCTAACAAAACGTAGAATAACTGAACCTAAGGAGCCTAGACCACAACTTCTGGCCTCCCCAGAGCCAAGCAGAAGATATGAGAAAGCAGTAGAGTGCAAAAATCAACCGGATATATGTGTATAGCCCAAAAGTCAAAGCTACCCTGTCCTAACCAGGACAAACGAAATGTAACCAAACGTAAGCTATCACACCCTAGAGTGCCGATACGACTATTCCAGCCCCCCAAGGGCCGAGCAGGTCATATTGGGGCAATATGGCGTGCAGAAACCCACCGAACAGCGGTATATATCGCAGAAGTCAAAGATATGCTATCCTAACCTAACCAAGCGTAACGAAACAAAACGTGAACTAACTCATCTTGACGTGCCGTGACCATCATTGCTGCCCCCCCCCCCCCCAGAGCCAAGCAGAACATATTAGGGCAATGTAGAGCGTAGCAGTCCACTGAATAGCGGTGTATAGCACAGATGTCGAAGATAACCCATCTTTGGGTAACCAAACGTAACATCGCCAAACGCGACGTAACATGACACAACGTTCCGAGATCGCTATTTCTGTTGTCCCCAGCGGCAAGCAAAATATACTAGAGCACACTAGAGCGAACATTTCCACCGAATAACGGTGTGCAGCGTAAGAGTCCAAGCTACCCAGACATAACCTAACCAAACGTGTCACGACCAACCACTGTATATCTCGAACTAATGTGCCGAGACCACTATTGCTGGCCTCGCCAAAGCTAAGCAGAACATACTAGAGCGCAGCGGAGCAGAGAAATACACCGAACGACATCATATAGCAGGAAAGGGAAAGCTATCCAAACATAACCCAAGCTAACATAACCAGGCATATTCTAGCCTAGCAAAACCTAACGCGCCGCAGACGCTATTTCTGACCTCGCAGCTGTAAAACGCAGAATATTAGATTACAGTAGAGCGCAGAAATCCACAGAATTGCAGTTTACAAAACAAAAGTGAAAGATATCCTATCTTAACCAAACCAAGCGTAACCTAACTCAACATATCGCGCCACGACCACCTTTGCTGACCTCCCCTGATTCGAGCAGAATATAGTAGGGCACAGTAGAGCGCATAAGTACACGGAATAGCGGTGCGTAGCATAAGAGTCGAAGCTATCCCATCCTAACCTAGCCAAACGTAACATAACCAACCGTCATATATCTCAAACTAACGTGCCGAGACCACTATTGCTGGCCTCCACAGAGTCAAGCAGAACAGACTGGAGCTCAGTGGAGCACAGAAATCCACCGAACAACAGTTTATACCACGAAAGGGAAAGCTGTCCAAACCTAACACTAGCTACCATAACATATCCAAACGTTGCCTAACTTAACCCAACCTGCCGAGACCACTATTACTGGCTTCCCCAGATTCGGACGGAGTATAGGAGGGCAATGTAGAGCGTTGGAATCCACGGAATATCGGCGTACAGCGCAAAAGTCAAAGCTGTTCCGTCCTAACCTAAGCAATCGAAATATTATCAAACGTAACATAACCAAACGTAATTTAGCTATACCTAACGTGCTGAGACCGCTAATGCTGCCCTTCCCCGAGACATGCGGAATACGATAGAGCACAGTAGAGCACTGAGGTCCAAACATTATCTGTGTTCAGTACAAGAGTCAAAGCTATCCTCACCTAGACCAACTGAACCAAACCATGCCGAATGCAATATAACTCTACCTTACGTGCCGCGGCCAGTATTGCTGGCCACCGCCGGGTCAAGCAGAGCATATTATAGGTGGACGGATCGCAGAAATCCACCGAATACCAGTGCATAGCGCAAAAGTCAATGCTATCCCTTCCCAACCTAACCAAACGTACCATAAGCAAACGTAACCTAACTCAAACTAACGTGCCAAGACTACTATTGCCGGCCTCCGCAGTGACAAGCAGAATATGGTAGGGCACGGAACAGCTCAGAAATCAACAGCATTGCTATTCATATCGCAAAGGTCAAGGACATCCTGCATTGACTTTTGATATACGCAGGCATCCGGTGGATTTCTGCGCTCTACATTCCTCCAGTATGTTCTGCTTCTCTCTGGGGAGGCCAGCAATAGTAGTCTGGGCACTTTATTCTAAGTCACGATACGTTCAGTTGTGTTAGGCTAGGGCAGGGTAGGACAGGATATCCTCCGCTTTTGTGCTATACACTGCAATGC